ATAAAGAAATTATGTAAAAAATTATTTCGATACTATGAAATAACATGATTTGAACTAGTTAAAATTTATTAACTAAACAATATGACACCTAAAAATTATAATATAAGATTAATTAATGTTGAACATTTGATTATTTTTTTTATCACTACATCAATCACATGTACCATACACGACATACAAAATGAATGTATTAAATACGATCTAAGAATTTAGTAAACAAACCTAACTCGAACTCGACTCGACTCAGCTCGTTAATAAATGGCTCGGGCTCGAGCTCAGCTCATTTGTTAACGAGTCAAGCTCAAGCTGGGGTAAAACTCGGCTCAGCTCGGCTCATTTGCAGCCCTAGTTGCGCCGAGCCGGCACACGTATCTTTGCCGTTTCAATTTGGATTGTACATTTTTTTTATTGAATTAATTATCAGCTACAAAATGATAGAATTAATTTTCAACAAAACTATAAACACTTATTCTTCATCATTTTTTTTGTTTGTTTTGTTCTTGTTTCTGGTTGTTCCAGCTGCACTTGTTGTTTGTAATTTTACTCCTCTTGTTTGTAGTTTTGGGTCTTGGTAATGTTATCTAGTTCACTTTTATGAAAAAAGAATCTCTAATTCTTTCTCTAGTTTCTCATTCCTTCCCTTCTCAAATTTCAAACATGACCGACTTCCTCCCCTCTTTTAATCTTTCCCATATCTAAACGTGGCAAATGAAATGATGACTTCATGGATTTATAGATTAGTTGAAAAAAATAAATATATAAATACAAGTGACATCTAAATTCTGGACCATTATGAAAATATTGTAAACATTTAGATATTAAAGTGTCATTCTAAAAAAACTAGGCACCAAACCGAGATTTTTTAGATATATATTTTATTAAAAAATAAAATTTAGGTATAAAATTGAAAATCTAAAATATATAGGTATTAAAATATAATTTTATAACAATGAATTCAGAGAGAGAGAGAGAGATTTTTTTAGACGAATTTCCCTACGACAATATGAGAGATTTTTCGGCGACAACGTCTATTTTGTTATGTTTGTCGAACGCTTTTGTAATGTTTGTAAGTATGTTTTTATGATTTTGTATCAATTTAGTTTGTATATATCATTTATCATTCTACTTTTTCATTTTTATCTATTATGTTTGTAATGTTTATATGACTAATTTGTATACACTGTAATTTGTAATGTTTGTTTGTATACTTTATGTTGTGATTTGTATACATTGTATTCATTTATTTGTAATACAAGTTACTGTTTTATATTGTAAGTAGTGACATTTTGTACTGTTAGTATGTTTTGTACTGTTTGTTGGTCTAGTTTGTATAGTTCGTATGTTTCGTATTGTTTGTAAATCTGTTTGTATGTTTTGTCGCTCCAGTTTGTATTGTTCGTATGTTTGTTGTATGGTTTGTACTGTTTGTAAATCCAGTTTGTATATTTCGTAATTTTCCATAATACCCAAACTATCCTTGTCATTAAATAAAAAACCCTTCCCACTTTTAAATCGTCAGATTAGTGTGTCCAGATTTATAAAGCCTGGAAGGGACTTAGTCAAGTGACTAAGCACCCTTGCTCACCAGATCCGTCCTCAATCCTCATTGAATGTTGAATCACAGGGCTATCCCTAAATGTTCAGAATATTCTTAGGGTTTAGGGTTTTAAGCTAGGTTACGTTACTGTTTAATTAATATATTTTCTCACCTGAATCAGTCTCCGATTCCAAATGAAAAAGGTCTTAAATAATTAGGTCCTTCTATTCCCCTTGAACACCAACTACGTACATACATACTATAAATAAATACACACTGATACACATCATATATTCAGCAAAACTGATTACGTACGTCGTACGTAACTAAACAAAACCTGCAGCTGGAGTAGCAGCGTTACTGATCGAAGCTGCTACGATGTCGACGACGACGACGTCGTCTGACCAGCCTAATTGCTTTCTCAGATTCGGCCACCGATGCCCGACTAATACGAACTGGAATTTCGTATTCGGCTGTGTAGGGCTCCCGATTGGTCTCGTTTTACTATTCAAATTTTGGTGCAGCAGGCAACCACAGCCGCCACCGCCGCCACCACCGCCACGCTTTGAGCAGGGAAAAAGGCAGCCGGAGGCAAGGCGCACCACCGCTGTCGTAGGTTACACAGTCGAGGCTTTCCGCAAGAGTAACAGGGTGGCGGCAGAGGAATGTGCAATTTGCTTGAGGGAGTTGCATTATGGGGATAAACTCATCATTGTGACGGCGTGCCGCCATTTTTATCACCGGGCTTGCCTTAACAGTTGGCTCGCCAAAAAGAGAAGTTGCCCTCTTTGTCGTGCCCCCGTTGGGCCATAATTTTAATGCGATGATGGATAGTTTTTCTGTAACATGAGATAAAGTCGTTGCTTAAGCATGGTTATATTTTTTTTTTATGAATGAGCATTTTATTCATATTTTATTTCCTTTATGAGTTAGCTTAATTTTGATATGTGTGAGTGTGAGTGTGACATTATTATTTAACAATAACAGTTGCAAAATGTCGTTAGATAGCATGCGTAGTATCTTCAAATCAACCAATTATCAAATACCCTTCATAAAAAAAAACAAATTATCAAATATGATGTCAAATTAGTTAAATTCGTACAACACTTGGATGATGGTAGAATGTGGCTTTAAATTCTTGAAAAATATAAAAGTGAGATAATCAATTGTTCATTTTAGCGTAAATGAGCACCAAGAGATTTCGAATTCATATATATTTCGTGCGATTAGAATAGTGTATGAAACATAACACTTCATGATTATGTTTTGTGTTTCACATTTATTATTTTAAGTTTATATATTAACTCTTACAAGACAACCATCTATTTTATGTAAGTTGTATCAAGGGATAGAGATCCATAATTAACATCCTTACATGTTACATCCATCACGTCCCTTTTTTTCGTTTGTTAAGTGCCAAAAATACGAGGGTCGGCTAATGGCATGTACTGGTCCACAACCCCATGATTTTAATTTTTAAGGTCATGTAAATATAAGGGGTCGTTTGGAGAACAAGATTTGAATCTTGGATTTATTGAATCCATAGATTTAGCAAAATGTGATGTTTTTTTGCTACTTTTTGTATCGTGGATTGTAACTTCAGAGATTTTAAATCTCTAAAATCTAGACATATCAAATCTCTTGTAATTAGAGAGATTTTACATCTTGATTTTGGAGATTTTCTCCCTCCTATTATATCTCTTGTTTTTTTTTTCATTTATCCCACTAAATTCTCTTACCAATAAATTCTCAATATTTTTCGAGCCAATCTAATTATTTTGGTTAAGGATAAACATGTTATGTGATAAAAAAATAGAATTTCGTTTTTCATTAGATGTTAACAATCATAGTTACCAAACAATAAACATTTTCAAATCTTTTTTCAACAATCCAAAGAGTTAAAATCTTTGGATTGTCTAGAATATAGAGATTTAGACTCCAATTCTCCAAACGAGCCCTAAGTTTATTGTCAGAAGAAAATAAAATTTTAGTGGACAGTATGGATTTATTTTAGTGCCTAATGGCAGCAGCGAAGAAAATAGAAGGCACTTGGACCCCACTTATGGCGGAGGCTATGGCGGCTGACTTTGGAGTTCAGCAGTTTAGTTTCGGTGCAGTAAAAAACGCAATTCTATGTATAAATATGTGAGTGATGTAAAAGCGTAAAATTGTAAACTTTAATCTTTAAACGTAGATTTTGACTATACTTGTAAGGGAAAAGCGGGATTATACATAAAAGCATTTTAATGACCAAGAAGTGTAAAAGCGTAAGTTTTTAAACTTTAAAGCATTATTTAGACTGCATTGTTCTGCTCGCATGGCAACTTCACGTGGTTAATCCAATTTCGGACTGGGATACTATGATTCTTATGCAAATGTTGGACTCGCCAGACGAGGTACAAACAGAGGTAGGAGTGTTGTGTCGAAACATTAAGAGGAATCCTGGTCGTATGTGAGATAGTCAATGAAAGTTTATTTACAGGAAAGCCAACAAAGCAACAAATATAACGGCGAGTACAGAGATTAGATGGAATGAGAGTATTGTCTGGCTTGATGGGCAGTCAATATTTATTTTTGATCAGTTAACCTTGGATGATGTAACCGCAACTGCTAATTAATAAAGTGTGATTCAGATTTCGATTAAAAAATATTCATGTGATACATTCAATCCTTTCACTTCTTAAACCATACACGAAAAATTAATGATTTTGCTAATATATTCAATTTTAAAAAATTTATTGAAAGAAAAATATTTGACAATTAAATTATTTTAGCTCATATATATCACAAAATGTATATGGCTAGCTCTTAGTATTCCAGTTGAACTAACCGTCTACTACTCTACTAAGTGAAAACCCAAATCCAATAAACCAAAAATTTGCGTGTTTACTAACTGAAATACAAAATATTGATAAAAAAACACTAAACACATGCTACTGCTTCCTCTTAAAAACTAATGTTTGCCAATGCTAGTAAAATTTTCGGTAATTAACATATCAGAAATTCAGAATCATCATAATTAAAAAGAAGACAAGAAATTACACTTAAGACAGGGTCTTCGGTCCAGTCCAGCCGCTCATCCGCTTCTGCTTCAGGCTCAACCCAAACTCAATTTCATTGGGCCTGCGTGGAGAAACAAAATCTATCTAGTCCCGTCAAAGTTGAAACTCCCTACGTCGATCGGCTGTTATACATACATTAACCAAAATAAGTCTCCAGAATAATATTCCCTGGTATAAATTAAATAAAAGGGTTTCAGAGTCCAAATCCATCTAATCTAAGTAATGGTTTAAAACACATTTTAGATTTCCTTCTTCCGCTTGAACACCAATTAACTCAGTAGATACATATAAATAGATAAAAATATACGTTACTCAAGGGGCAAGTGTTTCAAGTTTTCAACGTTTGCCCAGACAGATTGGTGGAGAGTAGTATTGATCGACCGGCCGTACGTACGAAGACGATGAACGCTTCGACGACTAATTGCACGACGGGTGATTTGGACGCCGATTGCGTGACAGATTCACTGTTCTTGGAACTTTTTGATTTCGTTGCATTGTGTGTCATAGTTGTGGTGATAGTAGTCAGCCTGTACAAGTTTGTCCGACGCCGCTGCTTTCCTCCTCCTCCTCCTCCTCCTGATAATCAAGATAATAACAATAACCATACTAGTAGTAACAATAATAATAATACCGTCGTCGTCGAAGTTAATCAAGCAGCAGGTAGCGGCGGGTTGAGGAATACCGTCAGGGTTTTCAAGAAAAGTGGCGAAGAACAAGGAAGAGTAGGAGATGAATGTTCGATTTGCTTAGAAGAGTTGAAGAACGGGGAGGAGTGCTCTTCTCTTGACGTGTGCGGGCATTTGTATCACAAGGATTGCTTTGAGCCTTGGCTCGCTCAAAACCATGATTGTCCATTGTGTCGCGCTTCCGTTCATACCAGACCGACAACGGTCAGTATGTTTCGCCAAGGTGGAGGTATGTGTATAGTTTAGGATTGTCTATGGTTTGGTTTCTCGATAATTATATTTTTTTATAGGAGATTATAATTTATGTATGTGAATTGTCAAGCAAAACAATGGAAACTGGTTCTATGGTCAATTACTGTTTTACCCTCCAAAGTATCTAAATTCGATTGTGTAAGATCTGCCTTCAAAAGTTAGTGAGGGATTTTGATATCAAACGAGAACGAGATTTTAGGTGGATAAACAAGCTCTCAGAAAGGTACATAAGTTTTTTGAGATGAGAAAGTAGTTTGTTCCGTTTGTTTTAACATGGTGAAACTTGAATTCAATGATGGAATTGACACGCACGTTGTCGACATTTCGTTTGGTTTTGGTTAATAACATGCATCAATTTTCATATTGTTCACGTAGTGGAATACTCCCAATAGTTTAGCCCAGTAGAAAACGTATATATATATATATGGTAATGACTGGTGTACGTCAGGCGTATAGTACACAGCAAACTACACGGCAAACTACACTTTCATAGTCACAACTTTCATGTGTGTGTGACGGTTATAGATAAAACTTTCGAAATACACGAAATAGCCAGGATTTTGATGATTATTTGACAAATATAATCATTTTTGTTGCAAATTTTAACGATGTTTTGAGATTCTGTCAGTTAAAGACAACACACGAAATACAAGCTAATACAGGGACGGCAACGGGGCATGAACAGGGCAGATATTGCTAAATCCACGCCCCGCCTTGCTCTTGAAATTTTGATATGCCCTGCCCTGCGACTCGCAAAGAGTCGACAATTTTTGCCCTAAACATTACCCCGCGCGGGGCGAATAAAATTCGACCTGCTCCATCTCTATTTCACTGCACAAGGAAAGGGTAAATCCAAACCAGGGAGAAAGAAACACTCCTGGTCTCCGTAAAATCATATAATGGTAAGGGTGGGAGGGATCAAAATGGATCCGGTGAGGGAGAAGGGTGATGGCGCAGACAGGGCAGGGAGAGAGCAGGCGGGAGGGTGGGCGATGGTCGATGGAGGCGGAGGGCTGTGAGAGGGTGTAGACGATTGTCGATGACCTAAAAGGAGCAAGGGAGACAAAGAAAGGAAGATTGGCCGCCTCAGAGCTACACCAAATAGAGAAAAGAATAGTGAAGATGAGAGAAGGGAATGAAGAAAAGAAAAAACTTATTCGACGCCCTAAAATAACTTATTCGTCGTTTTAAATCTTACTGAATTTACACAAATGCTCTTGTTTTCTATTTTTCAGGGGTATCCGACGGGTTGAAAACATGTCTTGGTACATCTCGAACAGATAGGAAAGGCTCAAACAAACAAGTTGGTGGTCCTTTAGCTGGTATTTCCATGAAAAGAAGGAACCTGTTTGATACGTAACATTACCATTAGCTAGGCACATGCTACATTCTTCTCTCCCAATTGAGGTCCATCCTTTCTCAGTATTCATGTAATTTTAATGGTTACTTGAAAGCTGCTTAGCAATAATATTTTCATTTGCAGACTGCACTGGACAACATAATATATCGTTGGTTCTCGTGTAGATTGAAGATCCCAAGTTGGCGTGGATTGATTCATTGATTGTGCATTACGAGGATAAGTGGCAAAGATGTCCATGTACAGACTACAAATGGAAATCCTGCTACACGACAACGACAGCAACACAACAGGTGGCGGGGAGTGAATTCGGCGACATCAGCGGCGGCTTCGTCCTCCTCCGCCCAGCAACAGCAACGCGACAGCGGCAGGGAGCAGGGAGCAGTTATGGGTTTTGCCAAGAATGGGACTATGGGATGGGAGGCTGCGGATTTTTGTTGCCCAGAGAAGGGTCTAGGGTTTAGGTTTGATTTGGGGTAGGGGCATATGTGTCATTTCAGTGTATTTTATGGTGATAAAATTTAAATTTTAGGGCGATGAATAGCGATTCAATACCTTCTCTCTCTCAACCAATTAACCTTTTCTAGATGGGATCACGTTATCCCCTAGGCCCAAACATCCACAAGCCCCTCTCGACCCCATCCTTTTTTTAATGTAGGTAGTAGAATGTATGTCGTTTGGATGAGGAATTGTAACGGATCAATTTGACACAATTGTCTCGTTTTGAGACAATTGTACCAATTGCTTCGTTTGCCAGCAAAATTTTTGGATAGATCAATCTGCCTGATGTATTTTGAATTGATCCGTTTTGAGTCAATTTCAATTACATGGGGTGAGGGCAGGTAATTGGAATTGACTCATTTTAATTGTCTCGTTTATAAAATGAGACAATTGATCAAATTAACTCATTTCTAGATTGATTCATCTAAACGAACAAATTTAAGATGAAAGACAGGGTGGGGCAGGACATTGCAGGTGGAGTGGGTTAGTATTTAATATCTATATCAGATTCATTCTTATCACGGATCTGATCGAGATCAACTCGATTCAAATATGGATCGAATTTTATCCTCCCATTACAAATCGGATCGGAGAATATCCACCAGACAGTATCTGGTTTGCCATTCCTGACCCCTAAGCTAATGCTTCCCCTAAGCACAAACAAAAAGAGAAAATAATGCTTTGACAATTGGTCTTCGGCCCAGCAGCCTATCCACTACTGTTTACAGCCTTTTGGGCCAGAAATGAAGAAACGGAAACCATTTACATTGAAATTGGCCCATCAAATCAAAAGCTTAAAATTGGCCCGTCAATTACCTAGGTCAGCCACTATAAAAAATAAAATAAAAAAGATTACCTAGGTCAGGCGGTCGTTTAATTTAATATATTTTATAACCTAAAAGAATTCCCCGAATTAGCGGTACGTACTCCCAAGTCCGAATCCACAATGATATAGGATATCTTTTCCTTCTTCCACTAGAAGTCTAGAACGAACCAACCAAGTACAAATATAGCAAAGGGAATACCAAGCTAAGTCTACTTAATTTCAACGAAACCTGGAGCTAGCGTAATATTGGTCGGCCGCGACGACGACGATGAATGCTTCGGCCAATTGCACACAGGACCGATCCCATATGCATTGTCATCGAATGGATTGGCCATCCTTCTTGAAGGTTTTAGAATTGTTTTTATTGGGCTTCGCTATTTGGGGTGCTTATAGTTTGGTAAAATGGTGCTTCTGTCCGCCTCCTTCTCCTCTTCCACCTCCTCCGCCGTCTCGACGTTTAGGGTATGGCATTGTGGTATTCAAGAGAAGGGGCGAAGAAGAAGAAGAAGAAGTCGATGAAGAACAAGGAAGAAGAAGAAGCCTGCCGGAGGAATGCTCAATCTGCTTGGACAAGTTCAAGGATGGTGACGTGTGTAGCTCTCTTCTCGTGTGCCACCACTTGTATCATAAGGCTTGCTTCGACCCTTGGCTCGCTCAAAACCCTCATTGTCCTCTGTGTCGCGCCTCCGTTCACTGATACCGCAACCCTAGCTTTTCCACGAAAATATGTATAGTACTGCAGTATATCATACATTTTTATTATCTTTAGTTATTGTATTTGATATGAGTCTATATGTGTCGCGCCTCTGTTCACTGATATCGCAATCCTTTTCACGAAAATATTTCAGGTACAATATATCATTTTTATTGTATTTAGTTCATGTATTTGATACGAGTTCATATATATATATATAGTGGCTACTTCAGCGCAATCACTTTTTTTTTGGTGCATTCAATACACTCAATTCTAAAAGTGACCATAATACATTAAATTTTGCAGTTTAATTGATAATATTAGTTTAATATGATGATATAATATAGACGCACAACTAATCAATTTATCATCCTAACCCCTTAATCTTCAATTTTGAATCTCAACCCAAAACCCTAAATTGTAAACCCTAACCCTAAATTCCTAAAATCTAAATCCTTCAAATTAAAGTAATTCTTTAATGAGTTTTTTTAAAATTCATGTGTTCCTTGTTCATAATATCATAAGCGACTGTTGATACCGTTTTGACATGAATCGCATGCTCGGAATGATGATTATGAGAAGAGTGCATTGAATGCACCCGAAAAAGTGGGTGCACTAAATACCTTGGGTAAGATCAAAGGTATAACATACATTGAGTAAGAAAATGATATCTAGACCTTGGATTGATTGGAGTTTGGCACCTGATACCATTCCCAAACCGATAAAAGATTAAAACTATATGTTAGTTCTATAAACCTAAAACACTAAGATTAATTGAACGAGATTCAAAAATTGACGGTCATGATTCGTCGAAATATATATATTCAACAAATTACATGCACAATCTCAGGGGACAAGGTTCTATGATTTAGATTTCTAATTAAGGCCTAATGTTCACCCATCAAGAGTTAAGGTATAGTATCATGCCCAAAATCCAGTTAATTCAAGATCTTGATACCCTTTTCTTACTCAGCGCGCATGCCGTACCCAAGAGTTTACCCAAATTACGATAGATAGATAGATATATATGAAAAGTGATTGGTACTTGGTACTAAAAAGACATATTCATCATATCTGCATTACATATCCAAATCCGGCAAACCATAAAACGAACAGTACACACAGAAACTGAATTGCTACTACTTAATTAGATACATGCCATTTTCCTACCCCTTGTGAGGAAAGAGGCGCACAGGTAGTCCTTTAGCCGGGATGGGCATCGGATCCACCACAATCTTCTCGTCCGGAATCAGCTTCTCGAACCTGAACCGCTTCACCAGATGGTGCATGAACACCAGGATCTCCAGCCGAGCGTATTCCTTTCCCGGGCACATCCTCGGGCCGCCACCGAACGGAACAAACGTGTAGGGCGCCGGCCCGCCGCCTTCGAACCTGCTCGGGTCGAACTTTTCCGGTTCAGAGAAGTACTGCCCGCTTTTGTGGGTTGAATTCGCACTCCAATACAGCTGCACACATATATATATATATATATATATATATATATATATATATATATATATATATATATATATATATATATATATATATATATCCAATTTAAGGCTCGTAAAACTAAACTGGATATTATTGTATTCAGTGTAGTTGAGTTTTGGTAATTGAACCAGTAAGCTAACTGTTCATATACATACCTTCCAGCCTTTAGGGATGAAGAAGCCATTGAAAATGAAGTCATTAATGGCTTCCCTGAACCCTCCTTGAAGCGGCGGGGCGAGCCTCATCACCTCACAAGCTACGTTCCATGAGTATTTCATCTTCTGGATGTCGTCCCAGTTCAGTAACTCTCCTGATCTTTTGAATTTTGCTATCTCAATTTGCTCTGCTTGTATAGATTTAATTAATGTAACATCCACGTTACCATAAACAAAGTTTTATGTACATCTGTTGGTAAAGCTCGAAATCTTGTTAAGTGACTAACAAATTAGGATTTGAACCATTGTCATTGAAAGGAGATTAGAGTCTTACCGGTTAATCTATTTTTCAAATTTGTTGCATATTTTACAATATAAATTTACCTACATTTAAAAAATTGAGAGAGTCTATCAACGTAGTTCCGCCACTGCTTATATACCGTAGTACTTACTGAGGCAGAAAGCAATTAGCACGCATGCAACATGTAACCTAACCTCTAGTTAGTAAAAATGATTAGTTACCCTCATTTTTCACAAGTATTTTCCTTGATATTAACCAGCCACTTTCCGCGGAATTCAAATTTACTGAACCCCCTCTTGCAATTGTCGCGCTTAAGTTATCATGCACAGTACTCGAGATTTTTCTACATATGGAAATTGGAAAGACGACAAAATTGAAGAAAAACAGTACATACCAACTAACATACCTTTGTAAACTCCATCATAAACGTGGGGCAGCTCGGACAGAAACTTGACGATGAAGGTACAAGCCGCGCTCGCCGTGTCGTGGCCGCCGATGAGGAGGCCGAGGATCTTGTCGGCGATGTCGAGCTCGGTCATGAACCGGCCGGCCTCGTCACTGATAGTCAACATGTGGGAGAGGATGTCCTGCGTCACGGAGGCCTTCCCCGTTCCCAGATCCACCTTCCGCTGACGTATGATGTTGAGCAGCTCGGCCCTGATGAAATTGGACGCACGGATGGCCTTCCTGAACGGCGTCCCCGGCAGATCCAACGGCACGGAGAAGATCCCGGAGGCCACCAGGTTGAACGGCGCCGCGAACTTGGCGATGTGGCTCGGATCCTCTACGCTCACGAACAGGCGACACGCCAGCCAGAAGGTGTAGTTTTTGGCTAGTGGGAACACCAGTACTTCTTGCTTCTTCTCCCAGCCGGACGCGAAGTGGCGTTCGGCGATCGAATCCATTATCCCAATGTACCTAATGCATTCAAATCAATTATATATTCACTAACTATACCGCATAATATCGTACAAGTAAGTTACATATGAAATATACAAGTAAGTTACATATGAAATAGATAAGGACTTGGGTTCTGGTATAAAAGTAATCTGACCTGCAAAACCACCGATCAATATGATGATACAATCGAATTTTACAGTGTTTTGCTGACAGAATTTTGTATCCTATCCGTTCTCAATTAATAATGGTACGTCGAATAATTACTCTGTATGTAAACTAGTAGTAAGTCAATAGCTATATAATTGTTGAGCTCTTGTTCTTCTTGTATTCGGTTTAGTTCGGTCACGAGAACTGTCAACTGGGCTGCCCATAGAGTGGCAGGACAAGCCCTGCTGTTGTCCCCTGTAGAGATAGCTTCCTTTGATTTTGTAGGGTGACTTCATTAATGGTTGTTTTGGGGATTTTGGGTAGAGGATCTAACTTTTGTACTTTGATATTACTTGAGGAAAAAAAAAGTCAATAGCTATAATAAATGAAATTGAATATTTTTTAAAATAAATAATGTTTAAATGTGTTGTACGGATTTATCAATTTAATTAATTAAATATATAAATGTTAAACATGCTGAAAAGATTTTGTACGTGTTCAGTATAGGACCAATTAAACGGACGGGGAAAAAATATTCAAAGTAACAAGAGGCAAAGCATTGACTGGAGTAAACAATTTGGAAATAGTACGAAAACAAGAGTTTTGAACATGTAAAACACCTACATCCATATGTACATACGTATATTAAATCGAGTGTATACGCGTATTAAACCGAGTATTGTGGACATAGGTACCTATGGAGGGCTTCGGCTTTGAGGAACTGGGGGAGGAGCTTGCGCATGCGGCGGGACTCGTCGACCGAGGAGCTGTTCTGGGTGAAGGGGAAGATCTTGTTGACGGAGTCCGGCCACCAGGCGACCACCAGCTTGTTCTCGTTGGAGAAGAGGAACTTGTTCCCGGCGGCTCCGGCGAGGACCACGGCGGGCTTGCCGACGATGTTGGTCTTGAACACCTCGGACGAGAACTTTGCGATGCGGTCGAACACGAACTTTTCGGGGCGGCCTTGCCACCCGGTGGAGAGGAAGTCGAGCGTCTCGCCGACGTAAGGCAGGCCGGGTTTCCCCGGCGGGAGGTTGGGGAAGTTGTACTGAGAGCGGTGGTTGTAGAAGACGAGGAACAGCGAGAGGGTGACGAAGGATACGAAGAGGAGGAGGAGGCTGAGGTAGAAATGCTCCATTTTTTTGCACCAAAGAGAAGGAAGAAGAAGAAGAAGAAAAAAAGCAGTAGCTCTGGCGTTTTTGTGCGTGTGTTTGGTTTGTGGTGTCACACTCGTTTCCCCATTTTGTATGGGAAGTGTTGTTATAACTTTGTTTTTGGGACACTACTACTGGTTGTGTGGATGAAGAGGAGGAGGGTTTTGTGCCAATTTATAGGCAAATGAAAGTTTGATGAATTGAGGTTGAGGGTGTATAATTTGGAATTTGGTTTTTTTAAGTGATGAGAACGTGGTTGGTGCTAATTAATTAATTAATGTAGTTTTAAGGTTATTTTGTTTACAACGTAATGAGTGTAAACAAAAAGATATTGAGACAGAGACGTGACTAATCTAGTTCCGAAAAATTTAAATAATTTTTTTATTCAAGACAAGTCTTTAAGGAAAAAATCCCAAAGTACACTAGTTTTTAAAAAAAATTCCCAAAATACATAAGTTATAAAAAAAATTCCCAAAGTACACATGTTTGAGCATCACCGTTTTAGACAAAACCGGTGATGGTCATCACCGCTTTTGACCAAGACGGTGAATACTTCACCGTTTCAAACTAAAACGGTGAAGGGTTCACCGCATTTGTTAAGAACGGTGAATACTTCACCGTTTTAAACAAAAACGGTGAATACTTCACCGTTTTAAACAAAAACGGTGAATACTTCACCGTTTTAAACAAAAACGGTGAATACTTCACCGTTTTAAACAAAAACGGTGAAGTCTTCACCGTTTTAAACAAAAACGGTGAAGTCTTCATTTGAATTCCAAGTATTTTGATAACTCTAAATGGTTCTCCTCGTCGATACGATCGCGCTGCCGAAAACGGCTCGTTATTTCGACCTCAAACGAATAAGATACGCGCGTTTTAGTTTTTAGTACGCAAAAGTTACTTTAACGACATGTGCAGCTTTGAACTCACTTATCTCACTAGTTTGGACTCGGAATTGAGATCTGTAAAATTCTATGTGATCGTGGTTGATTTTCCCAACTTTTTTGTGTTGAGGGAAGATAATGATTCTTGATAAAATGATCCAGAATATTCATTCGACAACTTAAGTGCGTAGGATAGTTTTTAGACCATGCAAACTCAAATAACAACACCTAAAAATCACAAAAACAACATTGATAGTTCACTACAATGATAAAACGAGAAATTCACTCATTTGCTTCATTTTGGCCCCCATCTCCACCTCTTCCTCCTCGTCCTCCACGAGTTTGTTGTTGCGGATGTTGGAATTGAGAGAACCATATGTAACAACATCATGGGTTCTCTCAATTCCAACATCCGCAACAACAAACTCCGAACCCCCCGATCATTCGTCAAGCTACCGGTCCAACTCAGCCACCACCACCACCATATGTAACCCCAGTTGGGGCTCGGGTCAAGAGAAATCCGCGACCAGCCGTTGAGCGAGCCCGCCAAGAAGCAGTGGCGGAGGGGGGAAGAAGGGGTCGAGGACGTCGTGGAGGACGAGGAGGAAGAGGTGGAGATAGGGGCCAAAATGAAGCAAATGAGTGAATTTATCATTTTATCATTGTAGTGAACTATCAATGTTGTTTTTGTGATTTTTAGGTGTTGTTATTTGAGTTTGCATGGTCTAAAAACTATCCTACGCACTTAAGTTGTCGAATGAATATTCTGGATCATTTTATCAAGAATCATTATCTTCCCTCAACACAAAAAAGTTGGGAAAATCAACCACGATCACATAGAATTTTACAGATCTCAATTCCGAGTCCAAACGAGTGAGATAAGTGAGTTCAAAGCTGCACATGTCGTTAAAGTAACTTTTGCGTACTAAAAACTAAAACGCGCGTATCTTATTCGTTTGAGGTCGAAATGACGAGCCGTTTTCGGCAGCGCGATCGTATCGACGAGGAGAACCATTTAGGGTTATCAAAATACTTGGAATTCAAATGAAGGCTTCACCGTTTTTGTTTAAAACGGTGAAGTATTCACCGTTCTTAACAAACGCGGTGAACCCTTCACCGTTTTAGTTTGAAACGGTGAAGTATTCACCGTCTTGGTCAAAAGCGGTGATGACCATCACCGTTTTTGTCTAAAACGGTGATGCTCAAACATGTGTACTTTTGGAATTTTTTTTATAACTTATGTATTTTGGGAAATTTTTTTAAAAACTAGTGTACTTTGGGATTTTTTCCAGTCTTTAAGGTATGGTCGAGCAAAATTATATGAAAATAACGTGAAAAATGAGAAAATCAAGTGAATTTCCCGTCCCGGATGTGAAGAACTCCCTACATAACATCTCGGGTTACCATTTTAGAATCGATAGAGGCAAATTATGAAACTAAATATATTTTTTGCTAAGCTGATTCCTTAACTTCATTCTTTAATTATTTTTTTTACTGGAATCTATGAGGGCTACGTATATCAGAAGGTAGGAGCTTTAGTAAATCCTTCGACTTATTTTACCCTTAACTTCAGGTAAATGAACTCCCTTTTATCTTTAGGCGCAAAAAAATTTCCATATCCATTTCTCGATATTCATATCAAACAACTCCTGGATTTCAACTTTTAGGATCAAATGATCTTGTGTTATGTTGGCTTTTGTACAATCTTTTTCTTTTTAATAAATTCATTTCACCCGTATAAAAAAAAATATACTTTTATGGAATCGTATCAAAATATGCCGTAGTCACTTACATGGTCAAGTTGAAAGTGTTGCATATAGCTAGGTTTGATTCAAACTCATCTAACATGTTAGTGAAAAGAACAATTTTTTTTTATCATTGCCAAAAAAATTAACCAGTCTTTCAGAACAACGTATAGAAATGAAATTCTTACACATGAATGGTTCTTAAGAAAACTATACATTTCCAAAAAAAAATTAAAAGTTAAATGGTGAACTATGAGAAGGAAAAAATTACTATCGGATTGGTATCGCCAAAGTAGTAACTCTTGCTCTAGTTTTCACACATAGGTACACTTTGTCATTGGTAGCTTTCTGCTTCCATTTAGCCCTTGATAGTTGGACAAATATGTGAACCATGTCAATATCCAAGACCCAATTTAAGATAGGTAGATTGATTGATTTCCACAACAAAAACAACAGTGTTGAATGAGTAACACCTTGCTTCCTTGCCGTCAGATGTGTAAATCTCCATTGCGCTTCCAGCCTTCCACTGTCCATGCTAGTTTGGAAAGAAAGAATTCACATTTCTGTGTAGCCTTCCTTTAGCCATGAAGGCCCTTTCTTCTTCCCCTTCATGATGAAGTTTGGACTATAACCATCATTAAATCAATGACAAGTTCCCTGTCTAAAGGAACTCATAGATCTACAATTAGGCTCAAGATCCGCCTACGCCTAAAATGTTGTTTAGATAGCGCCTGCTGACTCAATTGGTGCTCTAGCATGCAACCGAGCCCCAACTGTGGCTCAGCAATCGCCATTAAAGATCTCATCACAAAAGTGAATCTTGTAGTTGTGCCCCATACATACATCGTTACTCTCACTTCTTCCGACATAGCCCTTTCACCATTATGAGTATCTTGTTTTGGACCCCGGCATGAACTGACACGCAAAGTTATAGCTTGACAATTGTGACTTTCCGAGGATTTGCACATCTACCGTCGAATTGTGCTTCTTCTTCTTCTCCACTCCGCAAGGACATGCATCGACCATATTGGCGTCCTTTCTCTCAAGTGACGGATGTGACTTTCCAAAAGATTTTGCACATCTACCATTCCATATTTCCATTACCGGCTACGTGCGTATCCCCTCCAAAGGAGATCCACCATTACCGCATCGTCCTTCTCAAGTTTACATGCATAAAGAGACAGTACTGAAATAAGCTCCTAGCTAGCTAACGTGGGGGATTGATAAAATTTGCACTCAAGAGATTTCGTGAGTCATAAACAGTTATCAAACGGGAGTTTAACCAATGCCACTCTTTATATATGGGCGATGGGTTGTTAAGAAAACAAAGCATTTAGTTTATCGATTTCTAATTCAACTGAAAAGTAAGGCTGAATAGTGACATATTATCCATGTCAAAACAAAATTTCGATATTTACAGTGAGTAGTGATCACTAGATTTAACGAGGTTGGCAAGGTCTAGGCGTCCTCCAAATCCATATAATATTTAGAGAGTGCATTTCACAACCATAAGTCGTCTAAGTGTCCTAGTGCCACCTTAATTAACAGAACGTCAAGGGTGTCAAAGCCTCCTAAAAGGCTTGAGTTCATGTCTATATTAGTCGTAGATTCATTTGATATGACGAGGAAACATCTAAGGATTACAGAGACATCTTGTTTAGAGCGTCTGACGTGCCAAAACTTTTAGGATTCTAAAGATCTCATGCCTAGATATGAAGGTGTTCTAGCGTTCTAATTAGTCTAACTCAAAAGATATTGTAGCCACTAAGATTGTGTGCCATAAGCAAGGTTCTAAAAGGCGCTAGGCGTTAGGGCTGGCTATTTGGACCGGGACCGGATGAAAAACCGGAAACCGGACCGTATAACCCGGACCGGGACCGGATAGTAAACAATCCAATCCAATTTTTGGGCTTAGATTTGAGGTAAAAAACCGGATAAAGACCGGATAAAAGAGCTCAACACCCAAAACTTAAGGGTAATTTGCATAAACGGTCACAAACCTTTGCACTTAGTACAAAACTTAACCGACTCCTCGCCCTTTTAGGCCTTAGGCCACTCAAATTCCCACAATTTCAATATAAAATCAAAACCGAATTGGGACCGGACCGGGTCAAGACCGGACCGGATCAAGACCGGACTGTATCCAATCCAATCTTCGGTCCTTATATTTTCAAAAAAACCGGACTGGACCGGATCAATTTGGGCCAATTTAACCGGACCGGACCGTATAGCCACCCCTACTAGGCGTAAGGCAGGCGCTCGACTCTTGACTTGCGCCTTGCCCGATTAGGCGTAGCCTAGGCGCGCCTAGGCGTTCAGAGTATAAATGGAAAAATTCTCAAATATTTCCTGTTTTCTGGAATAATTCATATAATCCAAGTGCATATAAAATTAGCAATGCCTAGTTCTTAACAGTAAACACTTAACATAACAAATAACAAGCAAATAGTGACCAATCATATGCTAATAGGTGCTTATAGAGGCAAGAAGCTTGTGCTACGTACCGAGGAGAAGGAAGGAGCAACAATTGGCGAGTTTCGACTTTATTTCCCACTATAGCAGCGGAGCGGTGTGAAGGCGAGAAGAGTGATTGATGACTTTCTCCTGCGGCGACAGAGAGCAGCAAATGGGGCGAGATCTAGGGCGGCAGGCGATAGAAGATGGGGCGAGAGCTAGGACGGCAGGCGGCAGTAGATGTTACTTCCCGTGTTTCTGATTTTCTAGGGCAAGAGGCAAGTTTCTGATTTTCTAGGACAAAACGAAGAGTATTGGGTTTAACCGCCTAAGCTCGCCCAGGAACGCCCAGGCACGCTCTCTCTCCACTAGGCGCAAACTAAGCGCTATTCCTACCTACTAAGCCCTACCAGCGCCTTTAACAACGCCTATGGCCAAGTCAAGGCGATCCTCCACCGCCTAGCGCCTAATTGAGCCTAGGCGTGCGCCTAGGCACGCCTTCTTGAACCCTGGCCATAAGAAAAAACGATCATGCGATCCAACAGACTATACACTTATAACAAATTTGATAAAGAATATCAAAGTGAAGTCGAAAATATATGGAGTAACGAACAACTGATTAATATGTCATTTGTCTAAATTGTCAAGATGTTTCAGGCTTAGTTGGATTTGGATGAGAGGGGTCAAAGGCTAGGCAAAACCCTAATTGACCACTGGCTCATGACTTATAAATACCCCATTATCCTCACACGAGCGTGCATGATTATGAATTTTAAGCTAATAACCCCCTTATCTTCTCTCTAATTCCATTATTAGTCGATTTGACTGTCAAGTTTATAACATTTTATACTTTGCTTCTTTGCAAGTCTTACTTTTAGACAAAACAATCAACCAATCTATTTACGTCTCATCCTTCTCACTTTTGAACCTTTTTTTTACCTCAGTCTTGCCAAATCTACCCACCATATCTGCAGCGAAACAAATACAAATTAAAAGTTCCATGTTTACTTGCACCAAGTGCTAAAATCTTATTAGGTGATTAGCTAGGTGTCAAAGAAGAACCATATATAATGCACAAATGAAACAGGATTCCATGGGCGTGGAAGAAATATGCTATGGATATATATAATCGAAAGAAAGGTGGATGTTACGTTGCATTATTAATGTATAAAATGGCTTGACAAACACAAGCCCACATCCACCACTCCACACCTTTGTCCTCTTCTTCTTTTTTTCTTCCTCCTCCATTTCTCTGCAACCCCAAAGTTCGAATTCTGCATTTCTCCCAATCAAGGTATAACATATTGAAACCCAAATCAGCGTTTCTTCCTCCTCCTCGTCTACTTTATTTGTTTTACTCAATCCGTGATGATACATTCCCGTATTATTGCAGAGAGATATATGAATATAAAAAGCTAGCAAGTGGTATAGTTATACATAAGTAAGTGGATACATATAGCTAGTGAAGATGTGGAAGCTAAAGATAGCGGAAGACGGCGATTTTCTGACCACAACCAACGGCCACATCGGAAGGCAACACTGGGAGTTCGACCCGAATGCCGGAACCGCTGAAGAAAGGCAAGCCGTGGAAAGGGTTCGTGAAGAGTTCAAGCTCAATCGATTCAGGGTGAAGCAGAGTGCTGATCTCTTGATGAGGATGCAGGTGATCATTCCTAGAGATTATCTCATGTACATTAGTTATATTTATTACCGTCATCTTAGTGAAATTCTTCTTCTGATTCGCGGTTTCTCCCTCCGGTAAGCAGCTGACGAAAGAGAACCCAACTGGGATGATTCCATCAGCAGTGAAATTGAAGGAAAGTGAAGAGATAACAGAGGAAGCTGTGAAAACCACATTGACGAGGTCCATCAGCTTCTACTCCTCCATTCAGGCCCATGACGGCCACTGGCCTGCTGAATCTGCTGGGCCACTCTTTTTCATGCCCCCTTTGGTAAAACCACTACTACACTTTTCTCTCTAATGGACCAGGCCCATTACCCACCAGATACAGGTTCATCTTTATAGTCTCATTTTTTTATTATTATTATTATATTTTTTTTTTTTTTGCAAATCTACAATGTCAGGTAATGGCACTGTATGTCACTGGATCACTCCACACTGGCCTGTCATTGGAGCACCAGAAGGAAATCAAGCGTTACATTTACAATCACCAGGCAACATTCACCGTTTAATACACAGTCGTTTTACTCATTTATTATCATCTATCACCTAATTGCTGTACTAAAAGTAACATTTGGTTGGGGATATCAATGAAACAGAATGAAGATGGGGGATGGGGATTGCACATAGAAGGGCACAGCACCATGTTTGGATCTGCACTAAGCTACATATGCTTAAGGCTGCTTGGAGAGGGCCCTGAAGGTGGGGAAGACAAGGCCGTTTCCAGAGGTCGAAAATGGATTCTGAGTCATGGCGGTTTAGTTGGCATACCTTCTTGGGGAAAGTTTTGGGTCTCTGTAAGGAATTCCCCTAAACTCTAGAAACTTAGTTAATTAGGTTATGCAAATTTTCCAGTTAATTGTGGTGGTTGCATTATATTGCTGCCTGTACTACAACTGCAGGTACTTGGACTGTATGAATGGTCAGGCTGCAACCCATTTCCACCAGAGTTCTGGCTGGTTCCACCAAGCTCCCCTGTCCATCCAGGTTGGTTCATATTGCAGCATGAGTTCATCAAAATCTATTAAACTCATTTAGGACTTAAATTGTTTCGAATTGAACTAATATTGATGTGGTGTTATGCATCAGGCAAAATGTTGTGTTATTGTCGACTAGTTTACATGCCAATGTCATACCTCTATGGCAAGAGATTTGTTGGGCCAATCACTGCATTGATTCAAACCCTAAGGGGAGAACTCTACAATGAATCATACCATAAGATCAATTGGAATGCGGCCAGAAACACGGTCGCAAAGGTAACTTGAATGAGCAATGATTAGTCAAATAAGCTTAGATTAAGTACCTTTCCTGTGCTTAAAGTTGTGTTATGATTTCAGGAGGACCTCTACTACCCACATCCTTTAGTACAGGACTTGACGTGGGGATTTCTTCACCACTTTGCAGAGCCTCTGCTGACACGCTGGCCGTTCTCTAAGGTGAGGGAGAAGGCGTTGCGAGTGGCCATGGAACATGTTCACTACGAGGATGAGAACAGCAGATACCTCTGCATCGGATGTGTCGAAAAGGTTCTGTGTCTGATGGCTTGTTGGGTTGAGAATCCCAACTCAGAAGCCTACCAACGCCATCTGACCAGGCTTCCTGATTACTACTGGGTTGCTGAAGATGGCCTCAAGATGCAGGTACTAACCTATGATTCAGTTGTTTCTGAACAGAACCCAGATGAACAGAGTTTGATCTTCGATTGATTGCAGACATTTGGGTGCCAAACGTGGGATGCTGTTTTTGCAATCCAGGCAATCATGTCTAGCAACTTGAGCAATGAGTATGGGCCGACTCTCCGAAAAGCACACGATTTCTTGAAAGCTTCACAGGTTAGATTTTCAGACATCATCCTTTGTGACAGAAGAACACAAGATCTGACCTTAATTAATGTGGCAATTTCATCCATTGCAAGGTAAGAGAGAATCCGAGTGGCGACTTCAAGGCCATGTACAGGCACATATCCAAAGGGGCTTGGACCTTCTCAGCTCAAGATCATGGTTGGCAAGTTTCTGATTGCACTGCTGAGGGACTCAAGGTTAGTTTTCATTTACCACCTACAGATTGTACCACTTTTTTACTGTAAAAGTAAAAATGTAATTAACTTCAATTGTTTTCTGCACGCAGTGTGCACTTTTGTTCTCTCAAATGCCCGTAGAACTTGTGGGGGAGCCGATGGGGAAAGAGCAGTTGTTTGATGCTGTTAATGTCATTCTTTCCCTTCAAGTGAGCAACATGCAACCCGACTAGATTAATGAAGTGATGTTTTTTCTCCTTCAGAAAGTGTTAATGGCTTTCAATTTCTAATCAACAAAATGCAGAGCAACAATGGTGGATTCCCAGCTTGGGAGCAACAAAGAGCGTTTCAATGGTTGGAGGTAAGTCCAGCTTGCACATTAATGGTTTTCATCCCTCCTTATTGTCAACGAATGAGTTCGTCCTAGTAACTCGTATTGTACCCTTACCTTATACTCGTCAAATCTTATTTTATTTTGCAGAAGTTTAATCCAACCGAGTTTTTCGAAGATACTTTGATTGAGAGAGAGTAAGATATATGCACATTTCCTACGTACATTGGCATTGCGAAGGGAGAACAAACAGCTAATATTTTATCACCTTAAAATTTTCTTTTGCGATCAGGTACATAGAATGCAGTGGATCTGCAATTCAAAGCCTTGCTATGTTTAGGAAACACTACCCTACACATAGAAGGAAGGAAATCGATCTTGCCATCGCAAGAGGAGTCCATTACATTGAACAAACACAAAATCCCGATGGTTCGTGGTATGTACACTACATGTTGTATCATCTTGTACATGATGTGATGCTTCTATTCTAGTTAAGGAACCATGCATTCATTCTTCTAACTAATGTGACACCAAATGTACCAATGTGCCTAAAAAGGTACGGATGCTGGGGTATTTGCTACACATATGGGACATGGTTTGCCGTGGAGGGGCTGGTTTCTTGTGGTAGAAGTTACACCAATAGCCCGGCGTTACGAAAAGCCTGTCAATTCTTGCTGTCCAAGCAACTCCCTTGTGGTGGATGGGGGGAGAGCTATCTTTCAAGTCAAAACAAGGTCAATTTTAGTCATCAGCATGCTACGTAGAAACTAGATCACATACCAAGAGCAGTAATTTCCATGGAAAGGAAAGAAGACTTCTTTAACAAGTAATAGTGTTTCAGGTGTACACGAATTTGGAAGGAGGCCGGCCGAATTTGGTTCAAACTGCATGGGCCTTGCTCTCCCTAATTGATGCTGGACAGGTTAGTTAATTAGTTAGCAGTTAATGTTTCTATTTGAATTATAATGTTGATTAGTGGGGTTACTAATTGTTTACAACGGGTTTTAATTAATAATAAACAGGCTAATGTGGATCCCACACCAATCCATGAGGGGATAAGGCTATTGATCAATTATCAAATGGAGGACGGTGACTTCCCTCAGCAGGTAATCTCATTGTAATTACAGTACTAATTGAGTGAAACGATTAAGCAAACGCGTAAAGCTTGTTTTGCTGTTAATTCAGTTAATTTGTTAATCATTGTGTTGATTTTGGATTTGTCGAACAGGAAATTACTGGAGTTTTTATGAGGAATTGTACGTTGAATTACTCCTCGTACAGAAACATCTTCCCCATTTGGGCTCTGGGAGAGTACCGCAGATGTGTGTTGTATGCATAAACATATGTGCTCTCCCATTCTTAGTATAGTATTTGTGTAAGTTTAATGAAGTTTAAACCATGTTGTATTTCATACTGCTACATAGATCAACATTCATATATGAAATAATATCATGAACTAACAGTACGATGTTTTATCTAAAAAAAGTGTCATGTATAATTCTATATCTATGTAATATCCAATTAACATATAAATGAGAAAGATAGATAGAAAATGGTCATTTTCTTTTATGACGATAAAGAATAAGTTTTCTAGTAGAAGCAGCAGCTAAGCAGAAGTTGTGGATTTGATTAGTCTAATACGTGTAACTGTGATTAGTGACAGAATTTTTGTATACTAGTAAGCAGTGGACGAGACATTGACCCATTGACCATTGTCATTGTAGCTGCAATTTGCTGCTTTATTTTGTGAGTGGGCCGTGGATTCAACCAATTAACTCTTGACTCTATTAAAAAATAGAGTAGTCGGGAAAATCAAGTCTGATGCCCTTGGTTAAAACTTAAAACCCATCTCGTAGTTCTTGGATCAATTTCTCAAAAAATTGGGCAACCTATTTCCCATCTTTAGTACCAAAATTTTGAAACGGTAACTTCTTTTCTTTTTACGCTTTGGTTTGTTTATTAATTGCGACCAAAAGATCTAGTTGTGAGGGAGGACCTCATATCTACAATGGCAGATTCATGTGCTCCCAACTTAATCGCCTCTTTGCTCGCTCTTATAAACCTAGTCACTGCACCTTTCACGTATTCATGAGCTTCCTCGACGTTCATTTTCTTGCTCATTTCACCCGGAAAGCTGCTCAAGAAGTGATCGCCGTTAAGCACCGCCGCCAGCTGAACCACCTCGCTCTGGAATTGTGACAGCTTCTTCCCCATTTCCCTCTCTTTCACCGCCGTCCTTCTCACCGGACCCACATCTGGCAATGTCTCTGCAAAACATAAAATATAATAAATTAAAAGAAACGAACTTACCCAACTGTGTAATGCTCTCTTTTTTACTGTTCAGTGTTCATTATTCACATGAGAAGCAAGATGGTAATTTTTCAAGTAATTACCGGGGCAATCAGTTCTAGGAGAGGTTAACTCGTCAAAGAGGCCTTCAAATGTGCCGGCCCACGCATCCCTGTGTGTTAAGAAGTTGGATGACAGATTGAACAATTTCTTTATGGTTGCCGGAATCGAAGAGTGCTCGAACTCCGAGCTGGGCTCTGGCCCGTTGGGCCGGCTCATCACTGCAAAAAGGCCCAAAGAGACAAAGATAAGTTATAGCTAATTAGTAACCATCCTCACAAATGCAAAAAGAAGAATTATTGACCAATAATGAAATTCCATGTCACTATAAGTGGTGTATAACAAAAAATTTCCAACTTCAGATAGGTGAAGGCTTGGATTTTCCCGACGTTTGGATCAAACTTGGAACCTGGGATCAATTTCTCAAAAAAAGGATGGGGAAAATAAATCTTTTTGAGGGATTCATTATCTAGCAAACTCGAACACTTTCTATCATTGAATTGTGCTACTATCCTAATTTTGTTGAACTAAAATTATGTCGTACTTTCTTACATATTACTAAAATGCTATGTAATACTACAAACGGGGTTAACCTATGGACGGATTACCAAATTCGTATGGCGATATTACCGTTTTTAATCTAATTTTTTTTAGCTTCCAATTTATCTACTGTCTTTGAAAAAATCCTGCTTTTAGAATTCAAATTTTCTGTAATTAATGAATTATCAAAAAAATTATGAACTTAATCATCAGAGAGAGAGAGAGAGAAAGTAGTGGTGAGGGAGGCTGACCGGTTCGTTTCTTGATCCAAGGCGAGACCATAATGGTGGGCACCCGAACCCCAAGCCGGTCGAAGTTAAAGAAAAACGGTGCAGGACCCGTATTCCCATCCGGGTTAGGCACACCGACAAAAGGGGTCCGAACATGGTCGTAGAACCCGCCGTGCTCATCGTAGGTAATCAACAGCAGCGTCTCGTTCCACTGCGGGCTGCTCCTCAAGCTCTCGTAGACTTCCTTCACCAGCTTCTGCCCGTCGGCGACGTCGTGGGAAGGGTGGTCGTCGTTCCCAGGGAACCCGGGGAAATCGAAGTACCTGGGCTCAATCACGGCCAGATTCGGGAGCTTCCCGGCCTTCGCATCTCTCTTAAACGCCGAATCGAACGGGTGGAAATTGAAAACGTACTTCAATCTCCTCAAGTTCCGGAAAAATAGCGTGGTGGGGATGTTCTGAAAGTAGACGCCGAAGCTCCTGCCGTCGTCGTGGAGCGAATCGAAGATGGTCTTCTGCGGGTAGCCCAGGGCGAGCTGCTTGGCCACGTGACTGGTCGAACCGTGGGAGGTGGCCGAGTAGACGAAGAGCCGGTTGGGCTGGGTCGGGCCCGGGATCGAGGAGAACCACCGGTCGAATACGGCGAATTGGTCGACGAGGGTTGAGTAGACCGGCAGGGAATCGGGGCTGAACCCTTTCATCACGGCTTGGGAGAGATTTGGGGAAAGGGAGAGGGCTTGCTGGACGAATCCGGACATGGAAGGGATCGACCCGGATCCGAAGACCTGCTGGAGGACTTCCTCGAAGGAGTGACCCGGATCCGGATCCACGAATTGGGCGTCGTCGGTGAAGCAGATTGTGGAGGGGGAAGCGGTGGCGTTGAGAGGGTTGCATTCGGATCCGGTGACGCCGTTGATTAGGGGGTTGATGGATTTCTTCATCCAGCCAAGCATGTGGTCGAAGGATCTGTTCTCCATTACCAGGACTACGATGGTCTTGATCTTGCTTGACCCATTAGTCTGTTGGGCCGACGAAATGTCGGCGGAAAGGAGGAGGAAGGAGAAGAAGAGGAAGGAGAGGCTTGTTGTGGTAGCCATGGCTGCCTGGAGTATGGTGCGGAATTGATTGTTTCAGTCTTTTACTGAGCTTGACGACGAAGAGATATGGTACAAAATTAAACAAAAATAAAAATTGAGTGAGAAGCTTCTGGCTTTAAGTGACTGCCACTCTGCCATCCAGCTCTAGCGGGAAGGGATCCCGTGCATTGGAATGGGTAGACGGATTTGCAGGCAGTTGATTCTGAGCTGTTAGATTAACTTGGATCGGAGGAGATACAAAGACTCTGGTTAATCTAAGGGTGTTTTGGTAACTTTCTCTATTTCCTGGCGCCTATCTATCTATTCGGCGGTGAAGAAGCACTGTCGACGGCTAGAGAGAGTAGCTGGATTGCTCTCAGTTTTGCTTTTTTTGTCCCCTGTTTTCTGAAGAAAAAGGAGATGGTTTTGGGTTCTTTTTGAATATTAGCGGTGGTGGAAGACAAAAAGACAAGTGTGACTGTGTGAAAGGAAGGCCTCATGGGATGGCTGGAAAGTTAAATAATTCATAATTGAGATTTAGGGCTAAGCCAAGAATGAATGTAGTGGCCAGTGGGCAAGTGGAAAAGGTCGGTCACTTGTTTTTTCTTTCTTCTTTCTACTAATGATAAGAAGACGGTAACAGAGTTTTATGTGCAATTTTATGGACGGTTGGGTTGGCAATTTGCGAAAACGTTCTAAAAATTATACAATGAGAATTTGATTTCGAAGACGGATGACACTCAGAAATCATTGAATTGACCAGCAAATTTTTAACCACCTTTGGGACAAGTTTTTTAATCACCATTTCAACATCACATTCTATGAAAAGACAAGGTAGATTGAATGAGATCGCAAATGAGATGGCGTCTTTAGCAGCTAGCAACTCTGCGAGATAGCAATCAGGAATTTACTCGTGCCAGAAGGCAGGAACCCAAGACCAATAGAACTTATCCGCCTCTCACACTACAAGGCCAGACGAGCAAACAGAGTCTTCAATGATAACATCAAGTTTATCAAAGGTTGGTCCCTTGTTTTTTTATTTTTATTTTTTTGAAATGGTAATAAACATTTTATTAATTAAGAAAAAGAAAGAGGTAAAAGCCTTTTAGTAACTACCCCCAAAGAAAACAAATCCCCAGCAAACCAGCAGAGACAAACAAAGAGTAAAAACTGGGCATGACAAACTATTAAAAATTTGTTACGGTAACAACTTGATTCAATATGCATTACTAATTCTTTCTGGAGCTCGAAGTTTGGTACTGGTATTTGGGATATACTGAATACCGTACTGAATTTATCATTATTTGGTATTAACGAATACCAGTGATTCGGGCTCAAATGTACACATTTTACCCCTCATTTTTTATTCGTTTAGCTTAGTATTTCATCGTTACTCGACATATTTCACGCTAGGTTGTGCTTGTTTTGATACATTTCAGGTCCTAGCACGTGTGAAAGGGTCGAGGTTGAATTTTGGGATAATTGGAGGTCAAAAAGTGCAAAAACCGAAGAAAAGTCCGAAGACCGTGACAATTGCCCCGTAAAAGTGAAGTGCAGTTCAGTTCACGGCGGGACGAAATAGCGCAGTTCATTTCAGGTCCTAGCACTCCAGGAAACAGCGCAGTTCACGGCGGGACGAAATAGTTCACGGTCTTCTAAGACCGTGAACTTCGACCACAAACCGTGAACACTAAGGCGTCCAGGGAGGTTCCTGAAGTTACTGACGACAAGGCAGTTCACGGTCTCTAAGACCGTGAACTGTGGCCATTGACCGTGAACCCAGGAAGCAAAGCGGTGCGTTTTGGAGACGTCTGAGTTCACGAACGCGTTTAGGTGTTCATGGCCGTGAACTGGCCAACGCATCCGTGAACTCTGGTTTGAGGGAGAGACTTAGGCAACCACTAGAGATTGAGCGAGAGGATCGATTCCGTGACAAATAGATCTCTAGTGAATCCATCCTGTGACAAATGGATCACTAGCTGCTCCTCCTAGCGGCTCCCCTCGACTTAGTGAGTGGATTGATCCCGTGACAAATAGATCTCTAGTCATTTGATTCTGTGACAAATCGATCACTAATTGCCCACCCCCGCGGTTCACAACCACCTACGCCACAAGACTCCATTCAATCCAACGAGTCATGGTAGCTAGTTAGGGGGAAGCAACTCTCGGGTGAAGCTCCCTTAGTTAGAATTTTCCTTTATTTACTTTTCCTTGCTAGTTTAGTTTGTAGTTTTCTTAGTTTTAAAACCCAAAACCATTTTGTTAGATAACAACTTAAGCGATTGAAGTAGGGGTA